AATCATATCATACCTGAAGTCACAGCCTCTGTGGAGCTTCAGGCCTGCACCCAAGGGGCACTGCTCTGCAGCTCTGCCCTCCGTCTGCTTTTCTCCATGGCATAGTGTTCCCACTGGGGAGAGGGCAGAGCAGTGCTTACTCCTGACAGGTGGTGCTGGTGCCCCTCCGCCCTCAGCAATCAACAGTGGTGGAGACTAGATCCTGGACTCAGAGCGAGGGCCTGCAGCCCCAGATGAGGAAGGGCTTCGTGTTGGAGAGGCCCACCTCTGCTCACAGGATGTGAAAAGGAGTCTTGGGTGTGTACACACTCAGGGGGCCTAGGGGAAGATGGTGGCTATAGGGAATGGTCAAGAGTTCCCACCTGCCCCGGCCCCCATCAGTCTTCAGTCACCAGGGACACTTTCTGGAGCCCACCACCCCGAGGCCCTGCTTCACCTCCATGCCCCTTTCCAGCCGTGAGGTGCTTGCCCAGCCACCGCTAGGAGTTGTCTTCAGTTTCAGGGTTCCTGTGATATTTAGGAAGTGAGGATTGAGTAAAACGCTTCTTAGCTCCATTCTGAGTAAAAACCAGACAAAGTGTCACCAGCCATGTGTTCCACTGCAAGGTGAGCATAGACCTGAACTGAGGGGTGCTGAAGGACCTGCTGAGATCGCTCCCTAAAAACCCAAGAAAGGGGAGAGCTTTGACCCAGAGGTTAGTATGGAATGGCCCACAGGCCAGCACCCCCATCCCAGTGCAGAAGAGATCTACCTGGGACATGACGTCATGTTCCTGCCATAGGGAGCCTCAACGCCAGTGGTGGCCCCAAACAGGGAGGCTTGGGCCTTGATCTGGGATTTATGGGCTGATAGGGCCTTGCCAGAGGCAGGAGGCCACACTGCTTTGAGACCTGTAGCAAGGGCTTTGAGCATAACTCCTCGCAACCGGAGCTGCAGCACATCCACACGGTCGAAAAACCCTACTCTCCTCATGAATGTACTCAGAAGTGGTCCAGCTTCATTTAGCCCCCTTGGATCCACATAAGGGAAAAGACATTTCTGTGTGACTCCAGCCTGGTGACAGCTCCAGCCTTGCACATAGGTAAAGAGCCAGCTCCATGCAGCCTGGTCAGAAGGTGTCATCAGGAACTGAGCGCACATCATGCACCAGCACGTCCACACAGGTGAGAGGACTGCAGATGCCATGAGAACAGCAGGGCCTGCCATGGCCACTCCTGCTTCTCCGGCCCTGCAGACCCACGTGGGTAAGAAGTCCTTTACCTGCCAGGGCCTGTTGTGGCCTCTCCACCTTCTGGATCTTAGACTTGTTTTCATTCCCTTCCACTCAACTTTGAATTTGTAAATGAGTAATCTACGATCAGTTCCACTTTCAGCCCCAGCTTTCTTCTCACTGCACCTATTTACCTATTTCACTGTCTCTTTCCATAGGATATAATCATTTTGATTCATGTATATTCCATCAGCTGAGGCCCATGTGTATATTGAGTCAGACTTCAACTCAAAGTAACCCAGTCAACAGCAGATTAACTCCTTGCTAAATCCTGCGCCACCCTCACATTCTCTGCCATGCTCAAGTTCATTGTTGCGGTCACTGTGTCAGTCTGTCTCCCTGAAGGTCTTCCTCTCTTTTGAAGACCATTTACTTTCCCCAGCAAGGTGTCTTTTTCCAATATTTGGTGCTATCTGACACACATTCCTCAAGTCTGTGAGATGAAGTCTCAACATCCTTTCTTCCAAGGAGCATTCTGGTTGCACTTCCTCCAAGATGGATTTGTTTGTCCTTTTGACAGTCCAAGTGGTAGTCAGTACTCTTCACCAACAAAAAGCATCAGCTCTTCTTCGGTCTTCTAATACACTGGCCACTTTATTCAAAGCCATGGGAAAATTCCATAGGTTGGGTCGGGCCCACCTTAGTCTTTTAGTGACATCTTTGCTCTTTGTCCCTAGAGGTGACCCTACAGCTCTTTGTCACAGAGAGGTCCTTAGCAGCATATTAGGGAACTCTGGTGACCTAGTGAGTAGTGAGTTGTGTTGCCAATCCAAAGGCGCTGGGTTCAAATCCACCACCTGCTCTGCAGAAGAAAGATGAGAAATCTCTTGTGTAATTTACAGTCTCTGAAAACCCATTGGAGTCAGTGAAAGAAACTTTTTTAAAGAGAAAAGTGAACTGAAGGAGGGGGGCGGGTAGGGAGGAAAATGTGCAACAATAAATGAATGGGAATCTGAATTTTCTGTAAACTTTAGTTAAAATGTCAATTAAAAAAATATCCATTATGGTAAGAAAACAAACCCAATGGAATGTCACCCGTGAGTTGTGTCCAACTCAATGGCAGTGAATAGCAACAACAAAGCAGCACATTTTGCCAGTGCAGCACCTTTCTGGACTGCTGATACCAGGTGCGTTGATTGTGGAGCCAAGTAAAATGAAACAATTGACAACTTCAGTCTTTTCTTCATTAATCATGAGTTTTTCTCTTGTTGGTCCAGTTGTGAGTATTTTTATTTTCTTGATGTTTAGATATAATTCATATGGAAGGCTTTGGTCTTCCATAAGTCTTTTCACATAAAGCAAGCAAAAAATGTGTCATCTGTATAGTGTAGGTTGTGAATGAGTTTTCCACCAATTCAGATGCCAAATTCTTCTTCAAATAATCCAGTTTAGGGGAGCTCTGGTGGCCTAGTGGCAAGAAGCTGCAACTACAATCCCAGAGGTGCATGGTTCGAATCCACCAGATGCTCTGCCGGGGAAGGAGGGGCAATCTCCTCCTGTACCAGTCAGATCTGATTTGACGGTACACGCACACAAAAACAATAAAAAAAATCCAGTTTATCAAATTATTT